TTTGGTGTCTTCAAGCAAATATAGCTCTCCCTTGCTCACATCTTTTCCTAGCATCTTACTTGTCTTAATATCCTGAAAGCAAACATCATTAGGACTGAAAATAACATTGCAATTTAGGTCATTAGTTGCTTTCTTATCAGATAATAAGTTTGAAGTAAAAGTGGGCATGTAAAGAGCTTGAGAATCTTTATTAAACAGTTTCAGATTTCTTATTCCTTCTATGGGTATTTTATCACCGTTTGCAATTTCTACACTGCCTAGAGCTGGGGTTACATTATTAATCAGTCTAGCATCCCTAATCATATGATGAGAAGATCCTGAATCAATGATCAAAGGTCTAGCAGTGTGAGATCCATTGTGAATAGAGTTTAAAGTATTAATACTAGTGTTACCGGAGTTCGCATTAAGAGCCTTATAAGGGCCTCAATGTCTGACTTGCGGATGAATGCATCATCAGGAGATGGCTGGGATATAGCGTGAGAGGTGGAACCACCAGTGTACTCATGAGCTCTTAGTTCATGTGCTTTGGCTTGGTTGAACTTGGCTGGTTTGAGGTGCGGGTGGAGGATCCAACAGTTGGTTTCGGAGTGTCCCAACTTCTTGCAATGCTCACACGCCACATGCTTGTCTCCTCCTCTCCTTAGTTTGAAATGAGATTTATTAGCTGCTGCACTTTCCACCTTCTCAGCCTTGTTTGCCATAGACAGCTCTTATTTTCTCCCAAAGAGACCATCTGAGCCAATCTCCTTTTGAAGTTGCGCACACACATCATCATAGCTTTGGAGCTCCTTAGCTCTCAATATGTGTTTAACCACATAACTGAAGTTTGAATTGAGTGTGAGAAGAATACCAAAGATCTTTTCTTGCTCACGCCTCTCCTCAAGAGTGTTGGGATCATTAGTATTTGGCCTTAGCATTTCCAATTCCGACCATAGCTGACTATACTTCCCAAGGTGCTTGGTGAAGTCAATCTCCTCTTGCTGCAAATTGTTGATGGCTCTCTTAACTTCAAAGATTCTGGTCAGATTTGAAGTATTGCCATACACCTTTGTCAAGGTATCCCACAACAGTTTTGCAGTTTCACATTGTCAGTAAGAGTCCATGATATGACCATCAAGAGAGCTATGCAAGATAGACAGCACCATGAGATCTTCCTGGCCCCATTTGCCTTCATCTACCACTACAATCTCCTGGCATCTTCTCCTTGGGTGGTTTGCCTTGGTGCAGAACTTGAAGTGATATGCTCCCAAAGACCTCTTCCTCCAAGGGCTGTTTTGGCCAATCTAGACCAAGTGATGTAGTTTTCTCCTCCCTTGAGAAAAACATGAATCTTGACTTGTATGAATTGATTCATCTTCAGAGACTATTACCCACTGGTTACACAAAGAAGCCAAAAAAAACAGCCACTAAATTTATACAACTCAAGAACACAGATTTCTTATCCACAAAATAAAGTAGATCTGGAAAGAAAATAGAAGGAGTAGATTGATAAATCAAATAAAAGAGAGTATCAGAGTTAAATCGCGGAAGCAAAATAGGTACTCAAAAGCTTATAGCTCTGATACCATGTAAGAAAGTGAAGATTTTAGATTGAAGAACAAGAGAGAGATGAGAGAAAATAGAAAATGATGAACTTTTTCCTTAGATCTGAAAAATGTTCTTACAGTAGGTTATAAAGAGAAGAAGAATATGCTTACTCTAGTAACCAAACACCCTTGGTTTACTAGAGAAGATAAAATAAAATATCTATTTCTCTTTATTTATTTAATTCAATAAATAGCATAGTGAATGTCGCCGCTTGAAACACTAACCAAGACTCGCCATGAATCGGAAATAACGAAAGGAGAATTTGGTGTGGGATGGAGAATTCCAATCTCGACAACACCAATTGGCACAAAGTCATCAAGATGTGGGTGTGGAAACACATAAAAATAGAAAATCAAGAAAAACGGTTGAGTTAAGTTGGTCTCGGTTCGTATTTGAATTGCACTCGGAGAAAACCCTTAATTTTTTTTAAATGGTGAATCTTCTAAAAAGCCTTTTTATTTTGTTTCCTAAATAAATTTAAAATTTAAAATAACGAAGATAAATTCCATTAAAATGATACAAGATAATTATATTCTCATTTTAATTCATTATTTTCTAGATAAATGTAAAAGTTAAGGATGGCTGAATTTTTTTAATATTGGTATTGGATTCATATTTGAAGACTTTTTGGAATTCATGATGTAATAATCTTCTTAAAAAAATATAAAATTATATGGATATAGTTGCGTATTTAAATTTTCATTTGTGAGAAATGTAATGGCAAACAGTAAAAATATAAGACATGAGTTCTTGAAAGCATCCAGGAGTATCAGAAGCATCTAAATAACCACTGTAGAGTTTAGCCAGGAAAGCTGTGTTGGCAGCGTATTGGAGAGGCTCTGGGTCGCCAATGGTTCAGCATGATCAAACCACCTGTAGAGATATGAAAGAAGACAATCGTTGTATACTCTCAATACTAAGATCAAACCGTCCTACCTAAATCCTCTTCAGTATAGAGCACCAGCTAGACTTCTACAAGCCCAAAAAGTAACTCGCCAATACTTTACACACAACCAAACATCACAACTGCAACATACTATTTCCTAATCAGACATATTCCGCTAACACTAAGACTGGTTAGATTTGTCTTAAAGAATTCTTGTTCTTAAATCTCTGTGACAAAGAAAAACAAAGGCAAAAATCTCAGACAAGTAACAGTTAAAATCACGAATATAAATTCATTAAAATGATACAAGATAATATTTTCATTCTAATTAACTATTTTCTAAATAAATCTAAAATTTAAGGATGGCTGCATTTTTTTAATATTGGTATTTGATTCATATTTGAAGACTTTTGGAATTCATGATATAATAATCTTCTTAAAACGATATAGGATATAGTTGTGTATTTAAATTTTGATATGTGAGAAATGTAATGGCAAACAGTAAAAATATATTTGAAGTTGATTTGTATAATTTAACACTAGTGGTTGATATGTACTTCATGCGAAAAATAATCTCTATAAAATATCGTGTTTAATCTTATTTTATTTTAAGTGTTATATTATATATTATGTATAACTTATTATCTCATTTATTTATTTGTATCATTTCCGGTTGAATTTCTTCGTGTTATTATATTCAGCCTAAAATTTTATTGTGATAAAATAAATTGCATAACAGAGTAGTCGAAATAGTTCTAATGAAACTATTTCATTTTGACAATGTAAACCTTTTGATATATTTGTTTTATTTTACATCATCTAGTTTTGTATATACTCATATTAACATGTGGGCATCAATCTCAAGATCATAATTCCATAAAATGATTAAGAATATTTTTACAAACATAGGATAATATGTTATTGGTTAAAATTTGCTTAAATTTTACTTATATTTTGCTTTTTTATTTATTTATTGTTTTCACTTTCATGTTTAATTATTCTCTGATGAAACTAAATGTTTCTTATTGAAAAATATGGTTCCTAAATATATATATATATATATATATATATATATATATATATATATATATACCTTTTTCGTTAATTTAAATATTTAACAAAATAATTATCTATTTTATTAAAACAAAAATATTATGTTGGATCTAACGTTATTTAGTAAGTTTTTAAATTAAATACACTTTTCTACTCTATAGTTAAATCTACGTTATCATTAATAACTCTTTCTTTATACTAATATATTATTTATGTTTACAAATAATATACTCATTTCTTTATACTACTATTTATGTATTCAAACAACACTATAATTAATCTTTTGTCCAAACAATACAGAATATTAAATTTCATCATTTTTAGTAGTTTCTAACAATTTTCTTCCAAACTTTTCGATAAATTAAATAATTTATAAAACAACAAAAATAAATAAAACTTATTTTAAAGATTTTAATATTACATACCAGTTATCTGTCATTACATTCAACTTGAATCTCTACTTTTTTTTTGTTGGAACACTTATGTAATGCAATTCAAAGCATCAACCACTATGTTATTACAAGTAAGCTTTGATAGCGCTACTTTTTGATTAAAAAAACTGTTTTCTCGGATTTATGTCTTTGTATTTTTATATATAAATTATTTTAAATTTTAAATATTTTTGAGCATTCGGGTATTCGAATCAGATTTGGGTCGGTTCTTTACCGGTCTAGGGGTCCTAGAGTTTTAAATCCAAGAGATATTTGTAAATTTTCGGTTCGAATCAATTTTTCTCTAATCTATAATTAATATACATGTGATATACGGATCCCTTTCAGGTCCGGATTGAATTCAGTTATTTAGGATATGAAAAATACATGAAAGACCCAAATTTCATCAAATTTAGTTAAAATCTTTCATATATATATATATATATATATATATATATATCTATATATCTTACAAAAAGCTTTAAATAAACTATTAATAACTAAAATAAAATATTTTTAAAATTTACACTAAAAAATCGTATTACTTGAAAATGTTATAAATATAATAAGAAAAATTGTTAAAAAAAATATTTCAAATAAATCCTAAAATAAATATAAAATATAGGCACAAAAATTATAGTTTTGGATATTCATGTTAGTAAATTGGTATGAATCGGTTCTTATTGGATCGGGTCTTTCAAGTGCTGGTTCTTTTGAGTAAAATATGAAATCAATAGATACTTGTAAATTTCTGGTTCGGCTTCAGGTCTTATATTTTCTAATCAGTTGGGATTTTTGAGTCTGGGGTAAAATGCCCAGCCCTACGATAATAGTAAAATCAAATCCATAACAAATCTATATGGTTGAATAACTCTAGATGTCAACTAGCAAGGATAGATATGAGCTATTCTGTTCATAACTGAATGGCAGATAAAATTGTCTTGGCCTTATTAACTATAACTAAATTGGTCCAAATATTTAGTTGGGCCATATGACCCAATAAAGATGTGAATAAATTTAGTCAAAACGAAATCAAAACCCTTGTCGCTCACCGTCGTCTTTCCGCAAACCGATTCACAAGCCAAAAAAAAAAAGAAAAAAAAAAACTCAAAAATCAGTGGACGATGGCGAAGAGAATCGGGAAATCTAGGGGAGGAGACTCAAACATCTTGGGGAGGATCACCAACTCCGAGATCGTATCTCAGGGAAGACGCGCCGCTGGAGACGCCGTGGGAGTGTCGAAGAAATTGCTGTGGAGCACCGGAAAAGCTGCGTGGATCGCTGGTACGACGTTTCTGATCCTTGTTGTTCCGTTGATCATCGAGATGGATCGTGAAGCTCAGCTCAATGAGATAGATCTTCAACAGGCTAGTCTCCTCGGAGCTCCGGCGCAACCTATGCAAAGGGGGTTTTAGAAAAAGGCTATGAACTGTGGGTTCTTTGCTGTTTTGTCTGTTTTTTTTTTTAACTTGTTTTGGTTTTGTCGGATTCTTATAACAATATGGTGTGATTTATTTAAATTGATGGTGGTCTTTCTCATGTTTTTATGGTGGAGTTATGTCGCAATGTCGCGTGTTGTGTATCTTTGTTTCATTAAGGTGAAAGAAGATGTTTTAGGTTCTTTCTTGCTTCAGAGATATATGTAAGAAGAGAACTCATGTGTAAGAATAAGATGATGTCTTAACCATTAGTAAATTTTAAGATGCATATATATCTTAGTAGTATTTTGCATATACGATTATAAAATGATATGATTATGTAGTTAATACATTGCGTAGTTAGGGGAGATCACTGATGTTGTTTAAACTTTCTTTAATCTCCTAAGGATTAGCATATTAATCTGTTTCTATATTTGACATGTATTTGGATCAAAAAGAAAATGCATTTTGGATTAAACAACTATACAAATTACAAAGCATATGAAGAAACATTAACAGACCTTGCAATCTTGAAAGCAAGATAACACAAATACATACTAGATCGAGACTTTAAAGTATATACACAAATATGAAAAGTAAAGGCTCCTTATATTTTACTCAATTTCGTTTGTTTGATTAATATCACCATCGACCAGTCCAACCGTCGTCGAAGTTCAGATGATAGCTCCGGAGATCATAGCTATACTGAATATTGTTATTATTATTATTATAACTCTTCCGCGACAATCTCAAACGCGATTTCAACCTCAAAACAAGCTGCTTCACCAGAACGCGAAGAGGTTTCCCACAACACGAGAACGCAAACGCCATTATTTTAGTTCTTTCCTCTGAGTTTCCAAGCGTTACTGACTCCGTTGTTGAGCTTCCTATCCGCTTTCCCCATGTCTGAAACTGAAGTCTCTTCGAACTCTGTTTGTTCATTAGCTTCATAGTTACTTTACTCTGTATGTGTTTGGTTTGTGAGAGTGAGAGAATGTTAGATGTGATGAAGAAGCAAAGAATGAGAAAATTATATAAAGAGTAAAATTTGATGGAAAGAACGAAGGAGACACATGTTGTGGGGTCTGCAACGTGTGGTTGTAAAATTCGTGGACTAAACGTGTATAATCAGAGAATAGTCCCAAACTCCATAGTGCATCATTCACCACCATGTATCCATTTTTTTTTGTCGACTACCACCAACATGAAAAAGTGAATATTATAAAAGTAATTCAATCTATCTAATCTACTACCACTTTAATAGACAACCCAGTGACACTTTTTGATGTTTTAGTGGATAAACGAAATTATCTATTGGCCAAATCATCGTCCACCCTTTTAACAAAGAAAATAAAACAATACTTTAAACGACCAACCCATGGACATGATTTATTAGATAGAATAAAATATGTCATGAATTATGAATATATTATCTGATACCAAAAAAATACTTTGTTGTTTACACATTTAAATTTGCTCATACATACACTAACATTACTCAGTTAGAATCTGATTTTCCTTCTTGGAAATAACCTACAAAAAAATAGCTTGAGACTAGATAATACAAACCAAAGCTATAAATCTGTCTTTTGTGGTAGTAACTTTATGATTTTTTATTTAATGTTTATTTTAGTGGATGTCTTTTGATTATTTTGGTTAGTGTCAGCTCCACATCACAAAGGGTAATGTATATGTCATAAACTCGTCCAACTTTCGGGTTTACAATCAAATTTACACACCTTTTTGTGTACCAACGGACAACGGTGATGAAGCAAGAAATTTCAACGAATGAACACTTTCCACTTTTGTAAATTCTTTTTTCTTTTTATCAAAAAGCTTATCAATCTGACGCGAACTCGTTTTCGGTTGTCTGAAACTGCTGTGGAAAGATTCGATTAAAGTGAGATTTGTCTGTTTTTTTTCTCTTTTAAACTTTAAAGCGGTTTTGACCCAAAAAAAAAACTTTTAAGCGGTTTAGTATACACCGACGATTTTTTAAGATAGATACTGATCCTTACTTGATAAAGAAAGATGGAAAGAATACACCAAAATGACAAAAGATTATACCTAAAAAACTAAAAGCAGACCCACGCGCTAATTGCTTTCTTGCTTACCTGACGTAAAAGTAAAGAAACATGACCAAAAGACAACGATGGATAACAAAAAGAAAAAAAAGAGAATTCAATTTCAAAACAACCAAATTAAAAGCAAAGGAAAAATATCTGTTACTTATCCATCAACCCATTTACTGAAGAGATGGTGACTGAAATTGAAAACATACCACACACCTTGATTTTTTTTTTTTTTTGTTCATCTACAAGCAAACGAAAATTCTAGAAACCACAAAAAAAACTACATCAGGATGATCTTTTGATGATATTCTTGTATGATATAAGGCCCATTAAGTTGTTAGGTGGCCTCTGCAGACAATATGGAATACGTACAAGCACCAAACCCTTTCCACGAGCTCACCTATGACATATAAACATAATACTATCAAGGTCACTGCATACAATATCTCGGAGGAGGGTTACAAAATTTTAGGCATAATTGTTGATAAAATGTTACTTACAGTCCTTATGCTGGTTTAAATCTTTATCGCAGCTACAACATCTGCAGAAGAGAAGAGACAGATGTATAGATTTTAGTCTCTAGCTTCTGTTTACGTTCAAGAAATTATGTGAAGGTGATGTTTGGAGAGAAACTACACCTTGTTGTTGAGACGTCTAGTTTCAACCGTTTCTCTATTTCGCCAAAATATAAACCAAACAATGGTGACCTGTGACACACCAAAATTCACGATCTTTAACATAATTATTATTTTGTACAAGAACAGGAACACACAGCCACACAACATCTGTGTGTGAATAAGAGAATGTCTGACCCATTATATTTTTCTCACCTCTATAGTTTTTTTTTTTAATAAAAGAATTCTATTATAGAGATGGTTTTGCTCCAATGTATAACTCTATAATACAGTTCTATTTTGGGGAAAATATATAGATAAGTTGGAGATGGTTTTTGAACATTACAAATAAAAGAATATGATGAGTAAAAACCATTTGCATGAGTTTTTATTCAGGTGAATTGGGTTTCGCTACAGGTTAAAATTTGTTCAAATATACAGATTTTCTTATACTAAAGAAACATTCTCAACCATCAGCACCACAAAAGAACTTGCATAAAGAACATTAGAGAAATTTTTACTGGTATTACCAGTAATCAACCTCTCATCCCAAGCCAGAAAACATGACTTATGATTAAGTTAAATGTAGGAATGATGAATTGTTTGGTTGAGAATTACCATGGTGGAATTGCAGCTGCGGTAAGGGCAGAAGGCAATTTCCAGAGGCGATGAGAACGATTCTTTAATATATCTGTTAGATACTCAAGAATCTCTTCGACCTATTCAAGATGAAACCAAGAAAGTTAGAATCCTAGTTTACATATAGCAAAAAAGGTCAATAAGCGATTGTAATTCAGAAAAGTCACCTTTGAATTCAAAGCGATCTCATTCTGTTTTAACCCTTCAGATCTTTGAAGAAGTAGCTTGCACAACTCCTCGTATTGTTCTGACAAAGTGACAGATTTGTAAGAAACTGACATGATACCTTCGATTAAATTAGTCCATCTGCTTGTCACGCATCCTAGTAACAATACCTCCTGCTCTTCAGCAATACCACAACAAAATGTTCAACTAAAAATGACCACCTTCTCTTACAAAAACAAAAGAGATCATACTTAGTTCAAGAACCAGATCAACTTACAATCTTTTCCACGAATATCTCTTCTTTGTTCTCAGCTGAAAAGTGCAACCTTCTCAACACTTCTCCCCACTGATCTCTCGGTGCAGAAAATATCAAGCTGGCTCCCGATACCAATCTCAATGTTCTCTTACTCAGAAAATAAGACAGACTCTTCGATTGCCATTTGTTCCATGTTACAAGCTCAATAGACTGTTCTCCCCCACTAAGAAAAAGAAACACATTATCATCAACAGCTACACAAAGATTATCAGAGTACATACTATACCTCAACAAAGCTGTATCCTTGTCTTCTTTCCGTAGCAACAACTCTTTTTCCTCTACGTTTTTAGAAAGGATCTTCAAACCTGTCTCAAGCGCTGATACACACGACACAACAACTTGCCTCTCACAGAGCTTCCCATCAATCACATCTGCAATACCATCACCACTCTCCACAGCTGCAACCAGAACAGCTTGGAGTTGCTTATCCTCCAACGTCGAGTTATTCATCAAATGCTCCAAAACAAACTCTTTCCCCTTTAAAAGACTATCTAACGACAGATTCTCCAGACCCTACAAATCAAAACACACCTCTCGTTTCAAAAACGATCCAAAAATAATGATAAGACCAAAACCAAAAGCAACAACCTTTGGGAACAAGGGGTTAGATTTAATCTCAAATATAGCTTCCTCAACCTCTCTCACAGTTTCTCCAGATGGGTCTGAGATATTTACACTTCTTAACATCTACAAAAAACACAATTAACCGATAAACAAAAACGAAAGTAATGATTTTTAGAGTGAGAGAGTGAAGAGTGAACAGACGTTTTCGAAGAAGAGACCCCAGTGAAGAGATTTTTTGCAATTCTCGGCGTCCCAATGAGCGGGAAGGCCAGAAGATTGAAACCCAGATGCGAGGATGAGTAAATCCACAAACCCTTTCAGTATCTTCGTGAAATCTTCCTTGGAGATTTCTGGGTGATTCCAAACCATTTCTTCTTTTTTTCTGATTCGATTCGGATGAGATAGGGTCAATTCGAGAAAGAAGAAGCGAGTAGACGGATCTGCCTGTGGCATGATCGGTGAAATCGCTGAGATTTTTGTGCTTTTTTTTCCCGCGCGTTCGTGTGCCCTAGAGAGAGAAGGGACGATGCTGTATTGTATTCTAAACATTTTGGTTTTTGAAGGAAGAACTTTGTGACGTTTTTGTTTGTTGAGAACTACACGATGTTTAATTATTTTAAGAGGAAACGTTTAGTTAGCATCAATAGTTATCTTATAACATCACTCGTAATTAGAGCGAGACCGCGGAAGTAGATCCATATGGAAGCGCAGAATAAGAATTTTTTAAAAAGTAGGAAGCATGTACGTGTTGGAAGCGTATATCCAAATATATATAATTTTTTTTTATAAAATTTATAGCTAAAAATTATATGATTCTAATTTAAAATAAATTATTTATTCTTTTATCCATAATTTTAAATGATTGCATATTATAATTGTGAAAATACGATTAAATTGAGTTTATAAAAAATAGTACCAATTAGTTACTTTTACATTAAATAAATAATTGCCACACAAGATTTTGAATATATATATATATATATATATGATATATCTCTAATAAAAATAGTGCATACATATGATTTATAGTATTAATATTAGTATTTACATATATATACTAGGTGATTTTCCCGTGCTCATGCACGGGCATAAATATTTATAAAATAAATATATTATAATAGTTGATTGATATTTACTTTAACTTTTATATTAATTTATAGTTTTTATGTATAATTTATATTAATAATATTATATTATTTTAGTTATATATAATTTTAGATATATTATATTTAGTCAGTTTTATCATTTGGATATATATATATATATATATATTGGATTTTATCTATTTCTCTGAATTCAATTATAATCTTTTTTACTCTAAATATCTTAAAATTTTGATTAATTGTTTTATTTAAATTTATGTTGGTTGTTATCTTAGAAATATAAGTATATCTTAGTAAGATTATGTATTTTAAGATTTTTTGTGCTTAAAACGAAAAAAATAAAAACTAAAATGTCTGATTCTAAATTACATACATAAGTAATAATAAATTTTTGAAAGCTTATGAATAGATATCAATATTTACAATAATTAAATATTTTATAAATTTTAAATAATTTATGTCTTAGATTGATTGGATGGTAAACTGAAATTTATTTTAGATAATTTTAAAAATAAAGAATTCTGATTTGCTTAAGTATTTTGATTATAGTTATATTAAATTCCACAATCATAAAAACAGAAAATTAAACATCAAAAGAGTTATTAAGAAAATAGATAATTTTAACTATTAAAATATAATATATCTACCTTGTTAAATTATATAGTGTTATGATATTTTAAAATAATTGTAGTTATTTGATCAAAAGCTGTTTATTATTAAATTTATTTTTAGTATTGTTTTTAATATCTCTTAAAATATGCAGTAAAAATGTGATTGTTTTTGAGAAATTATATTATATAAGTAAAATATAATTTATATTTTTTGCTGTAACTGTAAAATATTATAATCAAATAAATATACTAATTATAATTGTTTTTGTCAATTAAATATCAGTTTATGTTACTTAATTATTTTATGTAATCATCTAATAAAATAGATAGATATATACAAAAACTAATTACTTTGAAAATCTATATTTTATTGTTTAAATTATTTTTTTAAAGAAAAAATATTTCTTTTTCTAATATCAAGATTATTTGTATGAACTTTTTTTTATGAAAACACATTATATACAAATATTTTATTTCATCTAAGAAGATATAGATATAAAGTATAATTACTTAAAAATTATTATTTATGTTATTTAAAATTATATTTAAGTTAAATATTACTATTTTGTAAATTTTCCTTTTTTATGAAACCATAATATATATATACTTATTTTTTCGTTTTTAAATAGTTTTGTAAATTTTATAAATATTTCATTTTTGTTTTATATTGTTATTTGGAAGATTTTAAAAAGAAAATAATAATATTTAAATATATTTTTTATTATTAGGGATATCATAGTAATTAACCAGCGTAGGAGTTAACGTGAGCGCGACACCTAAGAAAGTGACTTCTCAAATAATATTATAGTGATTCTTACTATATATATTATTGTATATTATAAAAATGAAAATGATTTTATATTTTATTTATTTATATATGATATTGTGTTTTTGAAATTGGAAGCGCGATTCCAAAGTGGAAGCGTAAGCTTCCAACATGTTTTTATATATGATATTTTAGAAGCGTTTTGGAATCGAGATTCCGCAAGCTTCCATAAGATTCCGATTCCGGTTCCGAAACGGGAAGCGCACGTCCGATGAAGCTTCCGTGCAACGTAGGATTATAGCATGTTTATTGGAGTAATTTAGAGGGGTTGTTTAGGGATTTTCAAAGTATGGGCCTAACAAAATAGTTAAGCACCATTGCTTAAAGTGCTTAATTAAGCAATCTATTTTGGCTATTGCTTGCACTGTTCACGGACCCACTAACACGTGGCGATCCGCGATTAATTCATTACCTTTTAAACAAAAAAAATGTAAGCAACCCATTTTAAGATGTCTACAATAAATATGCTAGGTCTCAGTCACGTAGCATCAAGGCTTGTTGAGCCTATGCAAACTCATAAACCTCAACTTGATCTGACTTGTTTGGGAGACACAAAGTTGTTGGTTGAAATATAACTCAACAAACCTTTCTCAAAACAAATTGCCTTAGATGACAAAAAGCTAATCTTCTTCTTGGTTGATTCCAAGTGTCTGTGGTATAAGTCCAAAGTCATCAAAAAACAAAATTTGCCTTTAAAGGTCCAGTCCTCGTGCTCCTCACACACAAGATGTCAAGCCCAACTCTCCTTCTCTCAACGCTCAGAATGGATCAACCTCAGTGACGTCAAACGCTGGTCTTTGTATGGGACATACAACTATCAAACCATTTTGAAACCTTAGGGTTGTGTGGAGTCACATGCTAAGCTGTAACATACTTTGTCTTTACTTGAGCACATGATCCCTTTATATATATATTGCCTTCCATTGTAATCGTGAAACCTAAGTTGGTGTTACAAGTTTAAAAGTCAGAGTTGAGTTTGGTTTCAGCTAAGGAGACAAATGTTGAACTTACTATCCAGGTTTTGGAATCTACATCTACGTACTATAAGGGCAAAGAAAGAACATTTGCTTTCACGGGCGTACAGTCTAAGCCTCTCTCAACTCCAACTAACAACTCTACTCAACTTAAAGTATCTATAGTCATTGGCTCCAACTCTCAAAGCACTTCATCACCATTAGCATGTACATTAATTTTTTGCTCCAACTCAAACTACTATTATGGGAGAAATTCCGTCAGCTATTATTGTTTTCAAGACCAACTTGGTATCAACGGACAGGCCTCTTCACATTATCATGCACATGGTAGCCCCACCTTCAACAACAAAGGAGATGGACTTATGAATGAAGTTACGGCTAACCTCAACATGTCAAGAGGTGGAAAACCAATAAAACAATATCAAAAATAATTAAGACATGGAATGGGCTACCATATGAGGAAAGGGCAAACAAGGTCGTCGAGGTCACGGATAACACCTTTCATCTCTATAGTGAATTTTTCCTTCTCTTGTTACACTAAGCTTATGTATCATAAGTTTTTTTCTATTAAGCTAGTTTGGCTGAATATAAGGCATGCATGTCTCATCCTATTTTTTTTCAAACTCTATGGTTGTTAAACCATACTAACTTTGTTTTTAATTTGAAAGTCTGTGTTGAGAAAGAAAACATCACTTGTGACTAGAATGTCCTGTTTGCTTATATTTTCAACAGAACTATTTCAGAATTTGTAAAAAGACTTGTTTGTTTGTTTTGTGATCACCTAAACTTCTAAATTTGATTAATATTCTTTGTGGAGTAGTTAACATGACATATGGGATGAGCTGTGATGTACTACTAATGTTCAATAATTAAAAGAGCCATCACAGACTATAATATTTTATGGTAAGAAAAAAAAATCTGTATTTCAAATTATCCCTACATAAACATGAAAGCCAATTTGCCACAAGGAGAGCGCGACATAGTCATCAATGACTGTAGATGCACATCGATTATTAGCAAAATTTTGTATTTTTTTCTAAATTTGTCAAAGAATTATTATAAGAAAATTGTCCAAAATGATTGACTAATAAATTTCAATGATTAAATTATTGTGAAAAAATAGAATTAGATCATGAGAAGCATCTCTATTGCCGATATATAGTGTGGGAATCTGAACTAATCAAGAACCTAATGAGTTGTCAAGAATGTGATTGTTTTGAAGGCGCACCATGTTAAGCAATGAAAAAATAAATTAGAATGTAGGCAATGCTGTTAAGGATGTAATGTAAACGAATTCTGCAGGTATTTACAAACTTCATTTCACTGATTAGCTGCTTACGGACGACGTGCAGCAAGGTATATATATTTTATTTAGCACACACACACACAAAAAAAGATTTGTTCAAATTTATTATTCGACTGAGTGATCCAAAAAACTAAGCTCTCTATAGATTATTGGAAACAATGCTAACAATAAATATATGATCCGATTATCCAACGAACGTATCTGTCACACATCTTATATTACAACTTGCAAGGAAAAAATATCTAGACTTGTGTAATTTCAAATCTATAAGTAAATGGAACAGAAACCAAATAGTCTCAAATGAAATTTTGCATTCTAATTTTTATCATGACTATCTATCTGACAGGACTGCATGTGTGAGAGGATGCGACTATTAACCATAGACCGGTCTATTAAACCGAAACATTGTTAAAAGATAATCGATGTGATTAACAAAAAAGGAAAGAAACAACAAAAAGCTAAATTAGGTAATTTTTGTACTAGGTGTTTTGAAACTTTTTCCATGCAATTCCTTAACATTTTAAGAGACTGGAACACATATATGTTAATTAATCATGATTTAGTTTTACACTACAACAATATAAAATGGTATAGTTACACAATGTATTACGACTTAAAATATGTAATGTATGAAGAATGCCTTTTCATAAAGGCTCAAT